CGCCTTTGGATGAGTTTCAATATAAATAAAATGTATGGTAAAAAAAATAATGTGTTATACGAAAAAAAGGAAGCTACCAACAGTTACTTTAAGAACTGCCTTACATATGAGGAAAAAGAAAAGGATAAATGAATGAGATACAAACTTGTAAACGAATTTTTTTATATATTACAACTGGCTCAATAAGACAATGTGATTTTGACATGTTTTAAAAAATTATTAACAGCTGATGAGAATAATGATGTATCAACTTTAAAATTAACGTGTAAATTATGTGCCACGGTTATTTTATGATTAAAATTGCTATGAAACGTCACCATTTATGACAGATAAGAAATTTAATTTGGCTAATACTGGATTCATATAATATTGCAGTCTTTAATATACATTTATAGAACATGAGGTATTTTTATTTATTTATTTAGTAAACATTCTTTTTTTCTACATGGAAATATTATAACCTTTCATTTTTATATATGTAAGAATTTATATGCAAATAAGTTAATATAAGTTAAAAGCAATTTGTGTTCTGAGTTTTAGATGTGTATGAAATTATTATTATACTTAATATAGTTATTTATACTTTTCTCAAGTCTACAGGCCGATTTAAAAGAAATAAGAATTCTCACAAACCTATGATATCTATAAATGTTTTATTTATTTTTATCGGTACACTAATATATCTTATTAAAAATTTCTAACTTGATTTTTGTTTTTCAATGTTTATTTCATTTATACGTTTTTGAAATTATCATTAATTTGGGTTCAATAAATTGTGATTAAGTTGAAACAGAATCAAATTCATAATTTAATTACTTAATATATGTATATTTTACAAAATAAATAAACTTATATTTAGTTGTTTATCTTTCTACCAGTTTATATTTATCTTTTTTACTAGGTGCATACATGTGATATTGAGCAAATGAAAATGTAAAATAGTCAGATTACCTGTAGATGGAAGAAAATACGTCACAAGTTATAAATTGACTACAAAAATTTGAGTTGAGTTTGGTAACTTATTATTTCAAAATCTAGAGATTTGCCTTAAAAATAAATATAAAAGAAACGTGATGTTTTTGGTTAATTTTGTATCTTTTATTGAACTGGTTTCTGCGCTTAACGCGAAATAAAACTTTATATATTGTCGCTTTGGAAGAAGATAGTTTGACAGTAAAGGATATGGCAAAGTGTGAACAGTGAAAACTCTGTAGCTGGTAAAAGAAATTTATTTTTAAACAATACATATTGTTGAACTGCAATGCTGGATCAGTCAGTTAAAACGAGAATGTAATGTATCCTACATAATGAAGGAATTTCGTGACATATATGATTCATCGAATTTATTCATTCGTTTATTTTGTTAGCATATTTTAGCGATGCAATTAACAGTTATTGGGTAAATGGGAAAGCCGATATTCATTACTTGAAAAATTTGACTGCGTAAAACTTAAATAAAATATTCTGATATTTTGAAGTCAATCTCAGCGAAAATAATCGATCGCTTTATAAGCCTTTATTAAGCAGTGGATTAATTGATTTCTACATTGTTTTCAGGGTTAAAGCCAAATTAATGCAGAATTCGAATAAGCGTTTTACACAAATCTGATTGGTTGAAAAACGTCATAAGATTTTATTTGTTTACCGCAGCTGACAATGATTTTATTGATTCGTGTGATGTCATCACAATTTACACGAGAATTTAGCAAAAAATTACACATATGTAAACCGAATTCGGGTTTTATATCGAATTATGTCATTTGTATAAAACTACAGAGGAAAGAATCGTTGTATACGAATTACTATATTGTCTTAGCCTGTAGTTTTCGTTCGTTGGATTTAGGTATATACTTAAAGTAAATCAATCACATTGTAGAATCATTAAGCTGTTTTTTTTGTTGAATATAGCTTATAAAGAGTGCATTTCGATAAACGTATTATTTAATAGTATTGAAAATCTGTACTACAGATTTTCAGTACTGTCATACTGTGTCAGTACACTTCGGAATACGTTCAACAAAAGAACAAGGTTTCTAAACGCTATGTGACAAAAGAAAGCATTCATGGCACGGAGAGAAAGACGCCTAATTGAATCGTAGCGCCTCGACCGTGGATTCTCGACTGCCAATTTCCGATAGAAGAAGAATCGTAGCGCCACTGGCGTCAGCGTCGCCGCCTGATAAGGCTTGATTTGTTCATTCGCATTATTTCTCGCATCTCAAATACTCGCATTATCCTGACATTATACGTTATATGTTATATTCGCAATAGCTTAGGAACTTGATTTTACGAAGGAGATAAAACCGATCAGTTGCCACCATTGGCCACATTTGTATACAAGCATTAGCCTAATAAGACCATCATCTGGACGGCGTCGGGCGTTGAATATTATTTATCTGATGCGGCGACGAAGCATATCGTTAGAGAAACGTAAGAGCAGCTTAAGTTCGACTGATCAAGATTCAGCGAAAAAGCGAATACGTATAATGGAAGAGAAGCAAGTAAGTTTTTAACAGTTCTTTTTTCAACTTTGTCGAGTGTATGTTATTAGAACGGTAGGAAGCACTTGGTATAAAACTTGGTATAAACGATACAGTATCAATACAATTAATGACATTCCCTAAAGCAATATATAGTTACTCCACGCAATATACTTATATACTCTACGTTGCAAAGAAAATTCAGAAATATTCATACGCGTATCAAATCTATTTTCTACTAGCATGTCCGAGACAGTACCACGTCCAAAATCGGGACGCAAGACGTCTTTCAGCCATCTTTTTTAGTAAGACGTCTTTCAGACGTCTTGTGTCCCCGCTTTTCGGCAAGTGTGTTGTATGGGGTGTAATTTGAATTAACTATTAATGCCAAGAGCTGACTTCAGACGAATCTGTTACTTGTATCAGAATTCAAGACAGAACTCTGTTTATATGTACACTAATACACTACCGCTCATTAATTTCAATATACCCCCGAGATTTGTTGATTTCTCTGTAAAACATGAACATAATACGTGTGTTTTTACACAGAAAAATGAATGCACTTGCTGTTATAAACGCTTCACTTGCATGCATCGTATTTTTATATATATTATTTATATAAAAATTCTTAGAAACTTTAGTTTTCGAAAAAACGGTTCTATAACAGCCGGATATAGTGTCTGATCCCTGAAAATAAAGAAAATACGCGCACAAGGTCAGGTCAGGTGACCTTGCGCGTGTATTTTCTTTATTTCCAAGAGTGGGCCTATTCTGTAACTCTTAACGACAGTTTCGTTATCATTATAATTGCGTTGCGCAGATATTATATATATGATAAAAGAGCTACCCAACGACAATAATAACGATAACGAAACTGTCGTTAAGAGCTACAGAATAGGCTCACTCAGGGATCAGACACTATCCGGCACTAGCCCCGTTTTTTTTTTTAAACTACCGTTTTCAAGGATTTTTATATAAATAATATATAAAAATACGATGCATGCAAGTGTTGAAAGTGTTTGTAACAACAGGTACATTCATTTCTGTGCAAAACACGTATATCATATTCATCTTTTACAGATGAGAAATTAAAGAATCTAGGGGTGTACTGAAATTAATGAGCGGTAGTGTATGTAACATGCAAAACGCTTTAAAAATTGGATTTATATATACATCAAAATGCATAGAGCATAATATGTTTTTCTTTTTAACGAGAATTATAGATCTTGTAAGTCTTAAGCAAAATACTATAAGTTATTCTTTAATAGTTTTATTATGACAAAACTGTCAAGTATTTATTGATATCGAGTTTGATCAACAAAAATAGTCGTATTTAAGTTTTCTTCTATTATTTGGCTATTTATTCAACTTTTTTGTGATTGACAAAATGCATTGTTATTTTTTAAAAGAAAAATATGCTAAATATATATATATTGTGTCTCAGAAACCTCTGTATATTTTTAGCTAAATCAGATTTTAAGTGACTCGTGTCCATATGTGTAAACATGTTATTACTTGTTGAGAATGTTTTTGTTTAAAATTGAATTGATTTTATTAAAAGGCATAAAGACTTTTAGAGCATTTTGATTATTTTTATCGTTCGTAAGTAAGTTAATTATTTCCAGATGTCTAACAGCGAAGAAATAAGGAATGTCTCTGAAAATAATACCCCGAAAGAGCAGCGGACAGTGTTTTCACCAATTTTACCTATATATATCAAAAGTTTTTCTGAAACACACATGGAATCGACTATAATTGACCACACATGGAAAATTAATCAATTTTTACGTTTTCATGAGATCAAGAATGCGATAACGTTTTCATCGTTCCCGGAAATAGATAAATGCGAGATTCTAATGAATGTTTCACGTCAACCTGATACGAGTTATGTAATAAAATTTTATATACTTACTAGTAACTCATTTGACGGTTCATGTAACACATCTATAATGCTAGAGCCTGAAACAGTTATATCAGTTAATTTTATTTCGGGTCATATAATGTCAAATATGACATTATTGAGTGAGATTTCGACAGACAAGTTTGCTTCGCTTAGTCGTACAGATACACTTACAATACGTTGCGAGTTCGAAATTTTTCATAATCTGATAAATAAAACTGTACGTCTAAGATTACTGCAATCTTCAACAAATGTTTCAAAAGTCACGAAATGTCGTGAAGATTCAACTTTTGATGAGTCTAGAAATGAGGAATTAATCAAATTTATAATAGGAGAAAAACAGTATGTTATATCAAAAAAATCGTTGCGCGCCACCCATAGTAACTACTTTATCAATATCTGCCGTACACATGAGGGAAAAGAAAAAAATTTGACCATTAATATGAATGAATTAGTAGCGGATAATGAGGTAGAATCTTTTAGACAGATTTTATTATTTATTTTAACTGGCTCTATAGATCATGGTGATTATGACATGCTTAAAAAATTGTTAACAACAGCTCATAAGTATGATGTATCAGCTTTGAAATTAATGTGTGAAAATTATTTATTACGCTATATTACAATTGAGAATGCTGTGGAACTTATACAACTTGCGTTTTCGTCTAAAGCCAAATTTTTAAAAATACATTCGATAAGTTTTATTAAATTTCACATAAAAGAAATTATGGACACTAAAAAATTTCAAAACCTACCGCAAGAAGATTTAAATGAGATAATGGTAATGATTGAGAAAAACAAATCACTTGAAATCGACATTCATCAATTCTTTTCGTCGCCACCTATGGCAGATAAGACATTTTCATTCGCTAATATTTGATTCATATAATAACAATCATAGAACACGATAAAGATATTTTTTTTTTTTAATTAGTAAACGTGTTTTCTTTTTTTCCACAAATGTAACTTTGAATTTTTATACATGTTAGAATTTATAAGCAACGAAGTATTATATGTAGTACAAATTAAAAATAATTCTTGATTTGAGTTTAGATGTATGAATATAAGACTGTCACTAATTATACTTAACGTAGTTTTCTTGGTTGTAATTTTTTTAAATTTATAAGTTGCTTAAAAACAAGAAAATAAAAAATAAGAATCCTTACAAACCTATGCTATCTATAAATGTTTTATTTAATTTTATCAGTACTTCCTAATCGTTCTGTATGTTATATATATCATCCTGTGTACGTATTATATTGTAGTGTCAGAATTTTTAGGATTACCTTAGCTTTTTCAACAAGCAAGTTATTTTTTATCACAAATTTTAGTTGATAACTCATATTTTAAAATCTAGATTTGTTTTAAAAATAAAAAAAAATGTGACCTTTTTGGTTAATTCTGTAGTATCTCTTGTTAATCTCTAAGTTTCTGCGCTTGATTAAAAATAAAACTTTACATTTTCGCTGTAGGAAAATGTAATTTAAAAGTAAAGGATAAAGTAAAGTACGAACAATAGACCTGTTCTTTTTAACTGAACTTCTTGCATGGTTTATCTTTTCTCTTTTTTCCTCCAACGTGAAAAGAGAATTATTATATTATACAGAGAGATATTATATTATCAATACATTTTGGGAAATGTATTGATGGTATTAAAAATCCATAATTTACATTAAGTTTGCTATAGATTTTCAGTACTGTCAGTATAATTCGGAATACACCAAAAAATAGAATCAAGTCTCTAAAACTCTAAACACTACCTGACAAAACAATTAAGATGTCAGTGGCCCAGAGATGCCAGATTTGAACTCGCGCCACTCGCGGCGGGCCGAATAGGATGATGCATGACCCCTCCATCTATCTTCCGGTTCCCGATTAGCCTAGCCGGCGCGCGAGTCAGCGAGTCTGGCAACGCTGCGAATAGCCACGTTCATTTGTTTATTCGTGTTATAAGTTATTTCTCACGTGTTGATATAGCATATATGTTCACAGTAGCGTGGAAACTTGTCGATAAAAGGAAATCTAAATCAAAGAAGTCAGTTGTGGTCAGTTGCCACAAGTCTGTGCACGCATCAGTCTAATAATTTCTTCATCTGGACGGTGTTAGAATATTACCGAAGCATGTCTGCAGGGAAACGTAAGATCTCAGTAGGTTCGAGCACGCCGGCCGTGGTTGTATCAAACGGTTGTGTGAGTTCGACTGATCAAGATTCAACGGAAAAGCGAATAAGACGTAAAATGGAAGAAAAGGATGTAAGTGTAAGTTGTTAACAGTTCTCTTTTCAACTTCGTTGACTACGGCTGCGATCCACTTGATGCTACAAAGGCTGCGGTCCACTTGACGCTACAAATTCTTTGGAGCGTCCTTCTTCTCCTTCTTTCTTCATTGAAAGAAAAGAGAAGAGGAATGCTTCGAAGCATTTGTAGCGTCAAGTGGATCGCAGCCAAACTTGATGCTTCGAAGCATTCCTTTTCTCCTTTCGTTCAATAAAGAAAGAAGGAGAAAAAGAACGTTTCAAAGCATTTGTAGCGTCAATTGAACCGCAGCCTTTTACGTGTTATTAAAACATTAGAAAGCGCATAAGATTTTAGTAGTATAAATGAATTAATACATTCGTGACATTTTCTGAAGCAGTTCCATGCATTCTACATAGCAAAGAAAATTCATAAACACAGTCTGATCTACAATGTGTTCTTTGCTTCCTGTTTTCTGCTCTTAAAGCCTGATCTACATTTTCTGTTCTCTGTCGCTCAAGATAGAAATTGACGAACTTCAGAAGAGACAAGAAACATCACGTTACGTACGCGACGGAATTGCGAAATACGAGATAAGAGTCGCAAAGAGATTAAGAGCAGAAAACAGGATTCACGTACCAAATCTGTTTTCCACTATCATGTGTAATTTGAATTTAAAAATTATTTATGCAAAAAGTCCATCTCAGATATCTGTTACGTCTATAGGAATTCAAGATAGAACTCTATATGTAATAAGGAATATTCAGAATATTATTTTGACACGCACGCACGC